TTAAACATGAAAATATGCCTTCATAACTCCTGTTAAACTATTGAAGGGTACTACAAATATTCATTATTAAACATGAAAATATGCCTTCATAACTCCTATTGAACTACGGAAGAATATTAAAAGTATTTATCATCAAACATAAAAATATGCCTTCAATACTCCTACTAAACGACTGAAGGATACTGAAAGTATTTATTATTAAACATAAATATGCTTCCATAACAATTACTGAACTACGGAAGTACACGAAAAGTATTCATTATTAAACATAAGTATGCCTTCACAACATCTACTGAACTACGGAAGTATACCAAAAGTATTCGTTGTTAAACATAAAAAATATATCGTCACAATTCCTACTGAACTACGGAAGGATATCGAGAGTATTCATTGTTAAACATCAAAATATTCCTCTATAACATCTACTGAACTACGGAAGTATACCAAAAGTATTCATTATTAAACATAAATATGCCATCATAATTCCTACTGAATTACGGGATGATACATAAATTATTCATTATTAAACATAAATATTCCTTTATAACTCCTACTGAACCGTGTAAGGATACAAAAAGCAGTCATTATAAAACGTAGAAATATGTCTTCATTACTCCTACTGAACTGTATCTATCGTTAAACATATATAAATACATCTTCATTGTTCTTAATAAATCACAGAAAGATAGTTAAATTATTCAATATAAAATATACGGAAATTGTTCTTAGTAAAATCAATGATTTTTGTCATAAATACAGTTTGAGTGTTGTACATGTAAGGTGTTTCACATTTGCTCTAATCGGGCTAATATAATTGTTGTAGAAGAGAGAATTTATCAAATCTGTGAGAATAAATGTTCACTTTCTGCAGAGTAGCTGCGATAACTTGTCACGAGACAGTAGTTATAGACAGCAACAACTTAAATAAGCTCTGGATTTAGTCAGGACAGTTACACAAATTTCGTCATCCAAATTGAAAGTGCAATCTGTGCATTGTTAATAAAAAGATATATATATATATATAGTTTTTAGATGCACTCGAACGTGAAGGAGTTACTAGAAATCTTTCAGTTAACTAAAAAGGGAAAGTAGAAGTGTAATTCTGAATAAAAAACTCGATAAATCCCTGAGACCTCCATCGATCTGCCATTGACGTTACATATAAGAGTCTTGGACCAACACAAGAAAATGAGTAAATACTTTGAAACCAAAAGTGCATTTCAATTACTTTTAGCATTAAAGTAGCTTTCATATACAATAAAGAAACTAAATGTCCTTTTTTATGTTCAGCTGTTTTTGAAAGGTTATCTATAATCAGATTCAGCATCTGTTAAACAGACCCTGAAGACACAGTCGTAAAGGACTATTTCCAACAACGACTTAGAACTTATGGTTAAGAAAACATTAATTCAGAAACAAAAAGTGACGCGAAAATGTTGATTATAAGAAAAGTTATCTGAAATTAAGAAACATTGACTCACGTCAGGGATTAGGCTCCTTAATTAGAATTTACCTTAACTGTTCTCCAGGGGGTATCATAAGATTGTCCATAATGAACGCACATGATATAAGGACGGGTTGTGCGGTGTTACCATAAAAATTCTCCTTTAAATTCTAATATGTTGTTTACCATTGTATTATGAATGTTAAAAATAGTTTTAATTTTGAGTATGATATTTTACGTTTTTCGACAATGATGACTTGTATATAGCCAATAACGTCCATGTATTACGACGTTCTTAAGGATTTCTAGGTCTTTGTAAAATGATAATGATACAGAGCTATATAATTAAAATTCAATTTAAGCTAGTGAACAACCCACAGCTTAAATACGTTAACTTTCTGTTCCCTATAATCACCATCTACTCTAGTTTCAAAACTTCGAGGTTGCTTATGTAATATAATGGGAATAATTATCTATGTTGATGAAACTACTATAAATTTAATTTAAGTTCCAAAGCTTTGTTTTTTTCCCGTTATCTTCATATGTTAGATCTAATCAGGAGTTTACCTCGAGTATAAATAAAACTATAACCAGAAATAGGTGTTTATTCTCCTCAATAATTATTTTCCAGAATCTCATTATGTCCAAGTAAGACGTTCTCAATCTTAATGTGTATCATTAAACATTGTTACCTCTCTACAATTGTTTATGTAGTCTATGATTGATATCATTAAACATTGTTACCTCTCTACAATTGTTTATGTAGTCTATGATTGATATGAAGTAGGAGCTTCACTAAGTTACTATAATATTAAACTATTAAATGACATCGTTAGACAACCTGTGGTTCAAATGATACTTAAACTATTTGTACGATACTACCCAAAATACAATTCAGAAACCTTAATACTCGAACTATTAGCACAAAATTTATTCCAAGGATTGATAAAATATTACTTTAAGTATCCAATAATAATAAGCAGACAATAACTTTTTAGCTAAAATCTCGGGCAAATATTACTTAACTAAGAATTATAGCATTACATCAACTACCTGCTATAAATCTACATCTATCATTAACTATCGTTGCTAGGAATTAGGTAGGGATGTGTTTGGAACCCTATATATGTGTCCTGAACTTTCTCCTATACGACATTTTTCTGCTTACGTCATTTTGTTTTACATCATTCAACAATCTTGCTATACAAATATACTTCTTCGTTAAGAATCATGACATGATCCTTCAGCCATAATTCAATCCGTAGCAGTCAGTGTTGCACTGTCAGAGAGTCGGAGATTGATCATGAACCAAATACTTATGGGTGCCAAACATGTCGTCCATGGTGACAAGGCTCGTATCTGCGACGACACACCACTTTATTAGCATATGCAAAGCATTCTTATAAATTGCGATTGACTCTATGTATAACACCCTATGAGAGTTATAATTAAAATGTTGCTCAATCATTGCTTCTCTGCTAGACTTTAACTGTCGTTGTTGATATCGAAATAAACCCAGTGAAAATATCTTAAGACTTTAAGTTCTATTTTGGAGTATAGGTTTTAATTTATTTTCAGTGATTTTTGAGGATTTTACGACTAAACGTATTGCCGTCTATGCGTTTCTATTTCTTTCCACAGATTTGTCTCTTTATAATTATACATGGAATTTGTCATTTTGAAATAAACGTTTCCCGATCCAACTCTTTGTAATTGTTTAGTGAGGTTTAATTACGCGTTGACCACAGTAAACTTTGATCCAGTTTCTCATATTTAGTTTTATTTTAAGGTATTAAAGTAGTAGCAGTTGTTTCTTATGAATTGCAAAGCTACACAAAGCCATCTGTGCTCTGTCCACCCGGTTTCTAGCAGTATAATTCCGCGGACATACTGCTGTACCACTGGGGGGCAAAACAGTAGTAATACTTAATACTTAAATACACCATTTCGAGTAGTAATACTACTAGTGTAATAATAGTGTACTCAGTGATTAAAGTGGATTTTTTAAAGAAATGGAACTCCATTTTGTGATCCACTTTGTAGTAGCAGCAGCGTGAATTTCAGCGTGGCTCATTCAGAAGACCAGAAACTCTAATGTCCTGAATCCTTTAGAGACGGAATGCCGTTCCGGACGTTCCGTTCTAAGTTAACCTCTGATTGTGCTTATGAAGATGTATATATTATGTATAACTTATATACGATGAATGATTTAAGTATCGAATCATCAGATTCATGGTTACTCCGAGTTTAATTAATGGTGCATGTGTTCACAGAACTTCTAATCAGCTTTATATGAATCTTGGCAAATTTATAAATTCACTTATTACATACACTTAGATAAATGAAAAATAGATATTACAGAACCAAGAATATTTTTTTTTTTTACGGAGCTGACTTGGTTAATTTCAGGCCTCACTTTGTGTCGTATGAGCAAGCTTTCTTTCATATGGAGACCCTGTTGATCACTTATTACTCTAAAAATAAGATTAATTAAAGTTATGAAACATTGTTATCGCTTTTGAAAAAAGTATGTAAAAATAAACATATACAGAGTGTAGTACTTATTTAGACGCGCGATCTTCTAATCTTTTATAACGAAAGAGTTTTTTGATACTATTTTATAGTTTTTGCGAATATATTTAACGCTAATGTTCTCCTCACTTTGCGTTGGTATGAATCTCACAAAATATACGATAAACCAAAAATACTTATACTTCATTTTAGTGTTCCATAAAACGTACCAATTCTGAACAAAGCGCATACTTATATTGAAGTATATGATACTTTGCAAATAAACGGTAAATACAACAATAAAGGAACAGTATAAGTGTCTCTCAAAAAAATTAAAACCTTATTCAATTATTGAAAATATATATCTCACGCCAGGCGTGGAGTTTAATGAATAATAAACAGAAGCATTTCATCATCTACCTAACAGGATAAAGCTCAAATACTTTAGTGTATATAATATCAAAGAAATAAATCTTTTAAATTTTCAATAATGACGGTATTTTGGAGTACTACGGTGGTCATTTATCAAAAGCGGAACACGCACAGTTCCCGAGTTGTCGGCTTGCTGACTTTACTACTCCAGCGCATGAAATTCACGTCAGCATGTAGAGCAAAGGAGAAATATCGAGAACAAAACCAAAGGCTTTGAGGGCGCTTTCGTTCAATAAATCCCTAGAAGTAAAATAGGTTTTATCTTGTGTAAATTGTAGCCTAACATTGTCACCGTCACGATCCCTAATAAATCAAAGGTTTTGACTCAATGTTCACTATCAAGTGAATCAGGATTAAAAGTGGTATAATATCGTATTTTCTGTTAACTGTTTATTTAGGTATCTTTCACTGTTATAAATGATCTCAAAGACAACGAATGAGCCAACTCAGTCCTGAAGTTTAGAGATATCAAGGCTTATTAAAACTTTAGTAATATTGATGTGGATCTCCTAATTAAGATAAATTAAGTTTTAGTTTTGTTTACTCTGACTATGCAGCCGTGTTGGAATAAGCAAATGGTGAACACTGTTGTAACAAAACCGCAAGGCCTTACCTCGTTTCAATGCAGCTGAGCGCCACCGGCTTGTGATGTCTTCCTTTCGTACTATGTCGTCAGCAGAGAGCAGCAAGAGGCAGGTTGGACAGTGTACAACGTATGCCAACATACGACACTGCCTGATCTCTGGCCGTTCGACTGTTGCCACGATTCTGACCCATCTGATCTGGCGATCGCTTAGCGCTGACAGCTTGTATGTCGCGATACAGAAAGCATCGCCCTCTAGTGGCAATAGGAAACATATTTTCTTAAATAATTGACATAACATGATGCAAGTCCCGTCAAAGATGGTTAACTTTGCTCTCGGTTTAGACGAAATCCCCACCAATGGCACAGCGGTATGTCTGCAGACTTATACGCTAGAAACTGGGTTCCGATACCCGTGGTGGACTGAGTACAGATAGACCTTTGTGTGGCTTTGCTCTTAATAACAAACAACAACTTTAGACAAAAAGAAGAATAATATACAACTTTCTCAAAAAAATTTCTGTTCAACTGAAACATTGTCAAAGTCATAAAATATTTATAAAATGCATTTTGTACATAAAAAATGTGTTCATTACAAGAGAAATTAACCTTCATGATCTAACTAAATGCCTATAGGCATTTTGGGTCAAAACATGGACCACAGACGAGATTAAATCTCTCTTCACAACTACATGAACGTAAAAATGTCACATAAATAAAGAACCCCACTCAAATAAATGAAGAAGTGTCCAGCTCTGACGGCCAACTTGTTTCCACTTACTGCAATGTGCAGGTGAGAATCTCTAAGGAAGAATGCTGATTGTAAATCACACATTAAAAGCACAAGTTTGGCGATTACATTTTAAAGCGCTTCTATGTTATTTATAAGAGTAAAGTATGATAAGGGCTAATTTGATTTTGTATATTAACGCTTGAAACATAAGTATATCTAAAAAGGACCACATTAAAAAGGCTTAACATGTTTATCACCAGCGGTTCTAGCATTTTCTTATCGTTGCGAAATATTCGCCAAGAAATTCCACCGTGTCATTGATTAACAGTAACGTTTTTTAAATTAGTTTAGAAATGAATATAAAACATTAGGTATCATAATAAATGATTGTATATGCTAATTTTTTATATTTCTGAAACAGCAGATCAATGCATCCTTTGACAACTATTCGTTTGCATAAAGAATATAAGTTTCAAAACGTTTCTGAGCCGGATATCGTATTACAATGCAGAGGATTAAATGACAGGCAACATTGCTGTTACCAGTTGATCTCCCATTTATTTCATTAGTTTCAGAGGAGAATAAAAAAGCTAATGTATTTACTGCTCTGATTTAATTATATCGGTTTCACCAGGCAAATAACAATAAAGAAGTTAATATCTAATTGGGAAACTTGATCTGCAAGAAAAAAGTCCATTAAGTTTCAATCACATCGACACTTATTTGATATCAGGATGACACAACGGTTGGTTGTCTGGCTGGATGTATAGATTAAGGACTGAAAGAAGAGAGTGTCACTTTGTTCAAGCTTTCCCGGGAATGATAAAAAAAAAAACGTTTGTCCCGTAGCGTGTAGACAGATTATTATGGAATAGGCTATCTTCATTCGCAGCATCACTGCATATCCTTTTGCGTTACCAGAGTGAAAGTAACCAAGTGGTGTTTACTGATATGGTTGTGGAACACAAAAACAAGAGAATACAAAATACTCAAGGTTCGCGGAACTTTGATATTATTTCTTATTAATAGTTAGCTGAGCATGCGTGTTGTCGTCACATAATATTAATTAACTTTGTTTTGTGTAATTGTGTCGGAAGGATTTTTGTTTTTAGCTCAGAAATGACTCTGGAGACTGAGATAAAACTACCATTAATATCACTAATATTTTCAAACATTGTGTATATAACTAACTTTATCCTTAACATTATGAATAATAGGGGTATTTTAAAAAATCGTGTTTGTGAGTAACTATATCCTAAATATTGTTAATAATACGGGTATTTTAAAACGTTGTGTTTGTAAATAACTACATCCTAAACATTGTTAGAAATACGGTATTTTAAAACATCGAACTAAGTCAGTTACTATGTCCTATAAATTACACATCCTTACATGTTCTACAGTAATTCCTGTACGCTGAATCCGAGAACGATATCCATGTTTCTCCATCTCGTACAGATCTTTCACAAAACGTCATAACGCAATACATAAAAGAAAGACCACATCACGTAGTTTTGAGACAAAAAGACGTAGATTTCATAAAAAGAATCAGGATGAATGAGGATGCATATTCGTTTAACATCAATGTTCTTCCCTTTTCTTCAGTTTGTATTTTTGTTAACAAACACAATAATAAAACATGTTTATTGTGGTAAATGAAATAATAATTTGATCTAAGTAAGAGTTTTTTTCTTCCCGATTTGTGAAAAATCCTTACGTGATAGGAAAAAAATGAATATTGTTTTCAAAGTTTGCGTAGTTGAATTGTGGAAAATCCGTAATTAAAAGCAAAACAACTTTTATTAAGTTTAAATTCGCAAGCCTGTGTTATTAATAATACCAGAACTTTAAACCATCAGTGTTAAGTTATGAGAGAAACAGGAACACGTTAATATGCTAAACGAAAAACAAAAAAAAACGAAAATTCATTTCTTGTTCTGCTAATAATAAAGCTTCTTAATTTTAAACTGTGTTGAAGTAAACATGCTAAAAGTGAATTTTTAAGAATAGCAAATCAGAAGCTTAAAATGAAACGATTTTATCATGATAAAATACTGTGGTAAAAACGCGCCCATTATTCACCAAAGCAACTCTAGCCATTTGTATCGGCAACAACCCACAATAATAGGCCCATCTTCTGTGACTCAGTGGCAAATCAGCAGGCTTAAAACACCAAAAAACTGGGTTTCGATACACGTGATAGGCAGAGCAAAGATAGCCCATTGTGTAACTTTGTGTTTAACAACAAACAACTAAACCAAACAACACAAAAATAGTTTAAAAAACATTCAAATTCCTTGGAATAATTACTTCAGGCTTTTACTCCAGCCGGCTAACATTTGTTATAAGCTTACAGGTATTGTCAATGAACTCAGAGAATATCTTCAGTATAATGAGCATTACTTCAGGTTATAATAACAAAGTCATTATCCTTGCTTGCTGTAACCTACATAGGATGATAAGTCGAAATTATAGAGCGTTTCTTGTTGGGCTTAACAGCGTGCTTGAGAATCTCGCTTCGGTGTTTGTCTAGTTTGACTGTTTAATCACATGATATGGATCATCTTAAAACAGTGTGCGTTGTCAAATATTATCTCACCATCCATACTTTTAATATAATTTACACAAATAAAAGTGAAAGAGCCTTTTTTTTTGTTGTTTAAATTTAAGCCTCTTGTTATAAATAATTTACAATATGACAAAATAGATATTGATGCACAACGCCCCCTGACGGGAAACAAGTATACGTCAATTCTTAAAACTAACGACCCAAAGGGAAAACTCGTATACGCTCCGTTATACTTATGTTTAAGTTCTATATAGCTTTTCTTTATCGAAATAGCTAGCTGAATTTACAAAAAGGTTTAGTACCATATTAACTACCCCCTCTATTCTTCCCTATTTTCTACATACAAGATGACTGGAAATTATGCCCTTGATATGGTCCTGTGGTGGATCTGGGTAAGTCTTAGGGTTTATAAAGGAAAATAATTGGGTTTGATACCCGCAATGGCACAGCATAAATAACCCATTATTTAACTTTCTTTTGTTCCCCTGCGGATCAGCAGTACATTTATGAGGTTACAACACCGAAATCCGAGGTTCGATTCCCTGCAGTGGACAGAACTTATATGACTCATTGTGTTTCCTTGTGTTAAAATAACAACAACCCATGATGTACATGTGTTGTACCAGATGCTGGGATTTATAGTTTATGGTTTCTATTTTCATTATCCGCAGACACTTACAGGAATAAAATTTACGATTTTCGATACCCGTGGTTGGCACAGCACTGGTAACCCATTGTATAACTTTGTGCTTCACAACAAAATAAATAAAAATCATCTTTTATCATCAGGAGTTATTCAATTGTCAACAGACATCACCATGATAGGTACCATGACGTTTATGTATAGATAACACAATTTCTGAACATACTAAAGTCTACTTTATAATTAGTTAATATTCTAGAGAATGATGTAGTTGCACTCTGGTTTTCTTAGATCATAGACTGTTTTAATCATTTTTTAAAACTTCAATTAACTGAGTTAGAACAGAGATATTGAAAATTGTTTTCATTTTTATATGTATATTTCGATCTTTTTTAATTAACCAGAATTTTTGCTTTTGCGATAGCATTTTTATATCTAAACTTATTGTCCAGCTAAATGATTTTAATAACGTGTAAATGATCATTATTAGAAGCACATGGCATTAGACTCTTAACATTATAATCATTAACAATTCACCATTGGTTACAGAGAATTATTTGCTAAACAATATTGCTCCACAATGGTTCAACCGTGAAATGAGAGGACTTGTAGCGCTAAAATTCGGGGATCGATCCTTGTGGTGGGTACAACTCAGGTAGTTGAACGTGCATTTTTTCGTTCAAACAAACAAGCATATATATATTACGTATTTATGGTAATGCTGTCTCCTACCGTCCGTAAGGGAAGATAGCTAATCAGCAGCACTGTACCACCCTCGCTAAGGGATTGACTGTCACTCTTATAAAGCCAAGAGTATTTTGTAGTATTGCTAGCTCTGAAACTCAGAGATCTACCACAGTGTCAACCTACGTCCTAAACAGTACGTCCAAACTGTTTGTTTTTCTATATGTAGTGTCTTTCAACACTCGAGTTGTAACTGTATTGATCTCTGAGAACTTGTTCACGGCCCGTTTTATCTAATAGCTTTAAGCATGTTGTAATACAGAAACGGAATCGGATAAGCAGAATTGAGGATATTAAGAAGAAGTTCACGAACCATATTGAACATGAAAGTACTACAGCTTAGAAATATGACTATCCTCTTGTCTTTAACCATAGCTATAAAACATACATGCTAGGTCTTTCCTAATTCTTTTATTGCAAAAACAAAACAAATAAACTACGTTTGGAAATGTTAATAATATTTTAACAAACTTGGTCTTTATGCGCTTCTTTAGTTGTTTAAAAC